GACTAACTTACCTCTCGGAGGAGAGATGGGACCACGCTGAGCTTACGAAGCCTATTAATATTTATTAGGTTTTGGAATTTCCAATCTACACGGCACCCCACTCCAAGTAAGCTTAGTTGATGCATCTTGTTTTCGACCGCTTCCTGATTAACGTGGATGGTGCGTAGGCAACCTCATTTACTCGTTTCGGACCGAGCCCACGCGCGCAACGACTCCAATTGTTGTCGAGTTCAAGCTGCGCACCTTTCGCAGCCACCGACCAAGTCGTGCTGTCCAGTGACGACCAGATCGCGCTGCGCAACTCGATGAGTGGGCTCGACGCCGAGTCGCACGTTGTGACCGCCAAAACCATGCAGTCCCTCCATGCCCCGAGGCTAGTCCCCGAGAAAACCGCGGTCGACACACTCGAAGCGCCACTGCAAGCCAAGACGCCGGGCGCCAACTTGCCCGAGAAGACGAAAGAGCGGGCTCAAATCGTCGAGGAGACGCAGTTGTTTCAAGCCAAACTCCGCGAGCACGCCGTACGAAATGCGTTTTTGAGTTTGAGTTTTCGATGTCGGGACAACGATGGTGCGTAGGTGTGGGTCCAGCTTCACCAGCGCGAGCTTGCGCAGCAGCAGCATTTTGCACTTAAAGAGGATGGAAGTCCGCGAAAAGCGTCGAGTGAATCACCGGCCGGGTACGCGCGCAAGCCGCCGACCAAGAAGCTAGCATAGCAATGCCCACTTGAATCCGTTGCACCGTTCCACGTGGACGGATACTAGATAGTAACTTATGTAAACCCTCGACTCCAACATCGCAAAATGTGCTCTTACGACATATCGAATCCACGCGCTCTCTCAATTTGTTTTAGCGACTAATTCTGTCGTTGTCAAAAGCTGATGGAACCTCACTTTATACGAGTTCTTATAGCACTCGGACGTTTAGCTCCATGCTGGCGTCGCTCGTACCTATTACTACGCAGTCGTAGATGCAGATTCCCATCGTGGGTGTCTCATTGACATCGGCTGCGACGACAATTGAGAGGACAAAAACGCTCAAGTCGATCAAAAATGGATAGAAGAACGACATATTAGAGAGATTTCGCAACAGTTCTGCGGCAACGTAGCACAACTCCCTTAGACCATGTAGTTGGCGAGGACGGCCACCGCAGCAAGCGCGAATGCCGAGACGGACGCGATGGACGCCGACGACGGCGCAGGCGTCGGTGCCTTGGTCGGCGCGGTCGTCGGCGCGGTCGTCGGCGCCTTGGTCGTGGTCGAGCCCGTCGTCGGCGCACTCGTGGCGTTGCACGCACCCGTCGACACGACCGTGAGCTTCTCGGACGGCTTGGCGCACGCGGCCTTGAGGAGTTCGCAGTTGTTGTTGTACGTCTTGCCGTCCGAGCCGCAGACTTCGTCGAGCACGTCGTTGCAGACCTTGGGGCAGAGGTCGCACTCGCCCTTCTTGGCGACTTTGAGCGTCGGGTTGTTGCACGCCTTGTTCTTGAGCTCGCACTCGGAGTTGTACGTGTTGTTGTCGCTGCCGCAGACCGGCGCGTACATCTTGTCGCAGAGCATCGCGCAGGCCTTGTTGCCGCACGGCACCGCGGTCATGGTCGCGTTGGTGCACTGCGCGTTCTGGAGGAGGCACTCGTTGTTGTAGGTGACACCATCCGAGCCGCAGACGGGCTTCATGTCCTTGGTGCAGGCCTTCTCGCACGCGGCATCGGCGTTGACGACAGTGGCGGTCACCGCGAGAAGCAGACCGAGCGAGAGCTGCATGCTGTAGTGCTGGTGCTGGTTGAGTAAAATCAAAAGTGCAATCTCGACCGCATCGTCCGGACGCGTGGGACTTGACGCAGGACCATGTCACGGCATCTGATAACCCCGCGCGGCCGCCGCGCTTGGCAATACTTTGATTGCCGCCACGCGCGTGTTAGAGCGTTTGTATGGAAAGGCCATTTTATGACGCAGACCATCTTGGCGCGTTGGGATTGGCTCGATTGTTAGACAGAGGATATGTATGGTATACAAACGTAGGCTATTTGGATACAGGATCTGGAAACGCTGGCTGCTTTTGGAAACGATCTGATTTGGATCTGCGCACAGCACATGGGCTGCAGCTGGCGACGAGAACCTCGTGTACAGCAGCTATCTGATGTCGGTCGACGCTTGTGTGCTTCACCACTGCTTTGGACCGACTGGAAAGAGCCTGGATCTGAAACAGCTCGCAACTCGACGCGGTGCGTGGACCTCGCCACAGCGATCGCAAGTAAATTTAGTACATGTACTACACCACTAGCATCATTTAAGGTCTCGCGCCTGTCCGTTGCCACACATTTATATGCATCTTTTTCTTCAAAATCAAGTGGTAATGTGCAATCGGCCTCCATGCACGAGTCCAACGCACATTCAAGTCGACCAACATTTCCAATATTTGGCGAGTCCGCCCCCGAGCAAGGATTTTTTGGTGCGCAAGAACAGCCTGCCATCAAGCCTCCTGGACTGGATCGTGCGGGGCTGAAGGCTGAATTTTCGCGCCTCTCAAGCACCTACTTTGCAGTTGAAGGCGGCATATCTGAGCAGCGGTCATGCCCAAGCGTCCAGTAAAAATTCGCTCACCAGAAAGGCTCCGCCAGGGCGCAAGGGATGCAGTGAACTTTGCTCTCGACGGACCTACTTGTGCTTGGTGCATGCGCAGAGTCCAGGATCGAGGTTGTGTTGCATCCTCTTGACGTGCACTATCGAAGCCGGTAAATAGTACTTGCAGAAAAAAGCCCAGCATTGCGCTCTCGCTTGTCCATGGACAAGTTGTCGTGCAGCAGCAGACTGTATCCTTGCGACCGGCGGGAAATTTTGGCGCGAAAGGCCCGCTGTTCTCTCAGTCCCCACCTTGTCCGCGTATCCAACTATATTACAATAGGATCAGTGTAGCTCGAGGTTAATAGTACACTACGCCGACACCAATAACAACTCTATTGTAGTAGGCGGACACGGAGGCTCGTGGTCAGGATTTTTTCCCATGCGCCTGTCGGCGAGCGCCAATAAATGCATGCCGCTGCCCGTAATACATAGAGTGTGTTTGACTAAACTCTACTATATCTGTATTTCTCCACTATAGTTGTATTCCTCCATATATCACACTGCAAATATTGACTTTAGAAAGATTGATGGGGTTCCTTTCAAGCTCTCTGATTGGGCTCTCGTCAAGCGTTTGCGTTTGGGCGCGGAGCCGGATACGCGGTTCAAATTCGAACTTCGCGTGGCATGTTATCCGGAACCTGTCGCTTTTGATCCCGAAGAGTATTTAAAGCCAGAGGTTTGGAACTGGCCTGGCATTTGTATGGCAGTCCAGCACACGCCTCCGACGACCATGAGCAGCAAGGAAGAGATGGACGACGAGATCCGCGAGCAGGACCGCTTCCTCCCGACGGCCAACATCTCCCGCATCATGAAGGTCTCGCTGCCCAACACGGCCAAGATCGCCAAGGACGGCAAGGAGACGGTCCAGGAGTGCGTCTCGGAGTTCATTTCGTTCATCACGTCCGAGGCGAGCGACAAGTGCCAGCAGGAGAAGCGCAAGACGATCAACGGCGACGACATCATCTGGGCCATGAGCACGCTGGGCTTTG